GCACCGCCCGGGAAGCTGCGCGAGGCTCGCCGGCGCCCCCACGTCCTCCTCCGCCCGGTGCAGCGAGTATAGCCCGGCCAGGGCCAGGCGGCTCCGACGGCGTGGGCGAGCGGGTCGCCGAGCCATGGCGCATCAGACGGGCATCCACGGTGAGGGCGGATGGCGGGCGGGCGGGCGCCCAGGGCTCGGCTCTCGGCTGGGCCCCCTACCCGACTCTCGGGCCCTTCCTCCTCCTCCTCGCATCAGCCGGGAGGAAGCTTCCTGTTCTCTGCAGCCGCCAGTCGCCTGGGGTGGGCACATCTCGGGGAGTGCCGTGCACAGCCAGGAGTGGGCGCACATGTTCGAGCGCCGCTGGGGTGGAAGTACTGGTGTCCCCGCCCGGGGGTGGATGTGCCTGGAGGTGCCCCTCTTGTGTGCTGTCGGTCCCTGCCGGGGGTAGGCGTACCCAGATGCGCACATCTGGATGTGACTTGCTCGTACGCATCTAGAGTCATTCATGTGTACGAACGAGTGTCTGCACCCGTAGGTGGCATGGGACCATCTCAGACATCACCGTGTGGCAGTGCGCACATGTCTGTGGGTGTCTCTGTGTGTGCACAGTTGGGGCGCATCTCAGCGTGCGTTCGTTACCATGGATGCATGCACGGGATGTGCCTTCTGACTTGTATGGGCTTGTGTATGTGCGAGGAGAGCGTCCGGACCTTCGCTCTTCTCAGGACTGTCCTGCTCCTGCAGGCCCGCTGAGAGAAACCTAGGATAGAGCCCTCTACGGTGCATGGGGAGAGTTCCAACCTGACCTTGACCTCTGACCTCCCTCCCATTTTCCACTGTGATCTCCTGAGTCTGCCGCAGCCAGGTTAGAAAGTCTCAGTTCCACTCTGGAAGCAGGAAACAGGGTTCAGATAAGGGCTTAGTTGGGGAGGGCCCCAGAGAATCGAGCCAGCTCCCACCCCCACCCTCTTCCCCAGGAAGCTCCTACATCCCAGTGCCTCACCCACAACCCCTCTCCCTGGGACCCCAGTTGGACAGGCTAAGAGCAAAGCAATGGCTGGGAGCCAGGTGTGCTGGCGCTCCTCAGGCCTCAGTGTCCCCGTGGGTTACTGGCCTGGGAGGGCCACCTGGCCTGGGGAAGGCCTCGCTGGTTGCCTACACAGCCTGGTGGTTTTGCCGTCAGCCTCTCTGCCACCACACCCCCACCTGGGGCTGTCGTCATCGACCTGCCTGACCGCCTGGATCCCTGGATCCCAGCTTGTGGTTGTGGCCACTTAGTGGCTACACCACCCAAAGAGGGTTTCCCCAGCCCCGCCCCTGCTCCTGCCTCCACCCTGCAGGACCGGGGAACCCTGGGGCCACCACTCCAGGGAAGCTGCTGGAGTGGGGCTTTATCCCTCAGCCCTACAGGGAAAAACTGCTGCAGGGCCTGCCCCTTCCTTCCCCTTTGTGTGGTGACAGCTTCTGGGTCTCTATCTGGGAGGAGCTCCTGGGGAAGTTAGGCACTGCTCTTTCCTGCTGACGGGCCGGCTGGGAGAACAGTGAGGACTGGGCTGAACCCCCATTTCTGCCTGTGCGCAAGCCCGCCTTCCTGTTTCAGACCTGGGGAGGTGTCAGGGGAGATCACCCTGGAGCACCAGGGGCCAGCCCTGTCCCGGCCATAGGTATAAGGCTACTGACCTCAGCGCAGGGCTGGGGAGGGACCGTAACCTGAGGCCCACTGGGCTTGGGAGGGTGGGCCAGCTGGGGGGAGGTCATGAATCTTTGATGACATAGGCTCAGGTGTCCCAGGCCTGGCCTCTGGATTATTGATGGTGGCTGCAGAGGCGTTGGGGTAGGCTGGGAAGTCTCTTCTCCTGCTGGGGTGTCAGTTTGCTCTAGGAACACGAGAAGGGGCTCATCAGCCTCTCCCTCTGGGGAGCTTCCTGGTTCCCCTCCCAAGGTCTGGTCAGGTAGAAAAGGCCCCTGAGTACAGCGTGCCCCCCACCCTCATCAAATCATCCATCAAGGGAGGCCCGTTCCTGGGCACTTCACCCTCTCCTCACCACAGCCCCTGGAGTTTGGGCTATTTCCTCCCTTTTCTAGGTGAGGCGGAGGTTCAAGGACACCAGGGCTCACACAGCTGTGGGAGAAGTGGAACCCCCAGAGGCTTGACACTTACCGGGACCCGCTTGGGGTCTGCTGAGGGGAAGTTCTGTCCTGGCCCAGAGGGGCTGTCTCCCCTCGTGTGAGCCTGCTGGGCTCGCTTGGGCCCCTGCACCAGCTAGTGGCCTTGGAGGGTGGAGCACAGCCCGAGGGCTCTGGCTCAGGGTCACTGTGGGGGACACTTGAGGACATGGCTAGAGTGCATTTTTCCTAGCCCCCCCGCTTGAGCTGCCCCATCCAGGCCCTATAAATACTCTTTGACCTCAGCCCTCCAGCTGTGTTCCTGCTGGGATTCTCCTGACCCCTGGGCAGCCTCAAGGTCAGGCTGGTGTGGTCCTGCTCATCCAGAGACCCAAGTAGGCCTTTCACTACAGTTTCCCTGTCCACTACCACTAGCGGATCTGAGACCATCTATAGCTCCCTAGCTCCAGCTGTGATCCTCACCTGGGACAGAAGTGCTTGGTCACTGGCTGTCACCTTCCAGCTGTGGAGCCCAAGGCACAAGGTGGAGTCTTTTTCCTGGCACCACTCCTCCAGGAAACCTTCCCTGGTGCCTGAGGGCTAAAGGCATGTTGCTCTCTGGCAGGGCAGCGCCGAGGGTAGCATCTGAGGGCCTCGGGGTGCAAAACCAGGCTGGGGGCTGAGGCAGTGTATCATGCGTGTCTGTTTCTGTGTACCCTCTGGGGCCCACTGGCCTGGACAGATGTCCTAGCAAGCCTTTCAGCTGCCTATTGGTGTGTTTGTTAGCCAGCCAGGGATTTATCTGTGTTTGCCTGTCTAAACGGGTGTCTACTTAGGTTTGACCAGCTGAGTGTGTGTTCTAGCATGAGGTGTTTGTATTTATGCTCCTGTCTATCTTGCACGCATTTTAGATCCACACATGCAGGATTTAACATGCATTGGCACATACAGTATGCGCGTGTGTGAGGACGTAGAGGTCGGTGTGCAGCAGTGGGGGTTTGTCTGTGTTCCTTTGTTCATGGATGTGACAGTGCTAGGCGTGTCAGAGGTCAGCCGACTGCCTGTCCTTCATAGGGGCAGGGGACAGGCAGGGGCTATCCACTCTCATGGTCCGGCTTACCCCGGAGCCTGGCCTGTCTTCCCTTGGGCTGTGCCATTCCTGCCTGTCACTCCCTGTCACTAGAGCTGTCCCAGCCAGCAGGCCACCCGCTTCCACTTCTGCTGGCTAAATTTGGGAGCTTGTGTTCAGTGGCCATCTCAGGTTCCCAGTCACATGGGGGAACGTATTTAATCTTGTGCCCAGCTCAGCCACCAGACCCCACAGGACAGAGCAGGACCTAGGTTCGTCGCTTCCACTCTGCCTGCTCACTGCTCACCATGTTTCTTGTTCTTATAGCCACAGAGGAGCTGAAGGAGTTCTTCGCCAAGGCACGGGCTGGCTCCGTCCGGCTCATCAAAGTCGTCATCGAGGATGGTGAGTGCCCCCACAGCTAGGGCACAGGTTGAGGCTGGGCCCAGTTGCTTTTGGGGCGGGTGGTGGTGTTAAGTTTGGGTTCAGGACCTCAGCTTCCTCAAACGAGAGTGGTTGTGAGGCCACTCGCAAGGGGAGCCTCGGGAAGAACTGGAGATAGTCATGCGCTGTCCTGGGGCCTGCCCTGCCTGCCTTACCACTGGCCGTGAGCTGAGCTGTGATGGACCCAGTCAGGCGCCGGGCGGGTGGCTGGGTGGCAGGGCACAGGGCACAAGTGAGTCCTGGCACTGCCACCCAAGCTAGTGTCACCCACTTCCCCTGTTCACGTTGGCAGTCTGGCCTAGCCTGGATGCTGCCCACAGGGAGACCCTTCCCTTAGGAGATCCCTATGATGGAGAGAAGGGGCTTGTATCCAGCTAATTCTGTGAGCAGCATGGGGGTTCGGGCTTGGTGGGGCCTTGGGCTGGACCCTGGGACCTGGGGTTGTACAGGGGGTGCTGGGGCGCAGGGGCTTAAGCTGAGGCCTGACGTGGGGAGGGTTCAGGGCAGCAGAGTATCGGGCTGGATTAAGTATTGAACTTGGGAGTAAAGGACTCCTCCCCCATTTCTCGTGTGCCAAAGGACTGTCCCCGACAGTGGAGGCTATGCACTCAGACTGCGCTTGGTCGGTCCCCCGAGTCCAGCCCTTCTCAGTAGCCATGCTGCGGTGGACTCTTCAGGCTGCCCCTCACGGGCTTGGTGCCCAGCTCGCCCTTGCAGGGGCTGCCCAGATCTAAAACTTACCTCAGGCTTTAGAACCATGGCTGTGCTGGGCTTTGTCCAGTGTCCCCAAATTCAGATGCGTTATGGCCTGGTAGGGGTCACTGATGTAGCTCACGAGTGTCCTCAGCCCTTCCCCAGTACCCAGAAAAGATGTAAGATCTTCGTTTTTGTTTGTTTGTTTTTTTGAGACAGGGTCTGTCTTGTTATATAGTCCAGGCTGGCCTTGAACTCACAGTGATACTCCTGCCTCAGCTTTCCAAGTGCCAGGCAGGCATGTGCCACCATGCCTGTCAAGATACAAGATTTTTTGCGGGGGGGCAGGGGGGGTGGGGTACTGGGAATTGAACTCAGGACCTTGTGCTTGCCAGGCAGGAGCTTGCCGCTGAGCTATATCCCCAGCAAGATACAAGATTTTAAAGCAGGAGGAATCTCTAGGTGGGCTCTTACCAGTCCTGCATTACAGTTGTTGGGGTACATGGGAGTGTCCAGAGTGTGACAACCTCAGTGTGTGACTGAGGTTTCCAGAGAAGCTGAGAATTCCACTTCTGTTTTTTGTTTTTGTTTGCTTTGTTTTGGTTTGTGTTTCTGCTTTGACACAGTGTCTCATTTCAGGCTGACCTTGAACTCACTGTGTAGCTAGTCTAGGCTGACCTTAGTAGCAGTTTTCATGTCTCAGCCTCCCAAGTGGTGGGATTACAGGCATGCGCTAGCACACTCAACCTGGTTTGTTGAGATAGTCTTGCTGAGTAGCCCAGACTGGCCTCAAAGTATGATCCTCCTCCCTCAACCTCCTGATTGTTAGGATTGCAGGCATGTGTGCCACCACACCTGGCTGAATTTTACTTCTTGTGTAAAATTGATGCTTTTGGGGCCCACTCAACCTGTGAAAATGGTGTTCAGCCCTGGTCCCATGTGAATTCTGGGGTGGCAGGCAAGGCACCAAGCCTGCAGAAGTGGCTGGACCAGCGGGTCTGGCTTGTTGGGGCTCCAGGCAGCTGCATTCCTGGTCCCAGCATGAGGGCCTGCTGGTGAGGACTTGGGCCCCCTGGCCAGCCGATTGCCCCTTCACCCGGTGCTCCCTCCAGCCTAGGCCTTTGGTGCCCAGCTGAGGTTCCAGGCCACAGATGCGGCCTGATGCCCCTTCAGCCACTTGGCACAAGCTGGGGGATGACAGACCTGTGGGGCCCAAGCGTTAAGAAGCTGGCCGCCATTGCTTCGTGACTTTTGGGGGCACGGAATACAGATGTGTGGTACATCTTCCCTGTGGTGAACACGGCTTCCCTGGATTTGTTCGCCCCTGCCGATCCTGTGGTCAGGGCCTCTAACGCCACCTTCCCCAGCACATCTGCCCCAGGATGAGGAGAGGGGCCTGTTGGGTTCCCCTGAGTCTGAGCTGAGGAGGAAGGGAGAGGGTTCAGCACGGGACTGCTCTGAGCAGCTGTGTCTGAAGATGGGGTCAGAGTGGCACCGAGCTATGTGAGTCCTGAGTGGGTCGGGGGTCAGGATGTGTAGCCAAGCAGCCTTGCCCTGGTTCTCTCGTAAGGGGCGGGGGCTCCAGTGACTGTGGGGTGGGGTGGCCAGCAGGTCTGAGCTGGCCCTGGAGGTGGAAGAGTGAGGCAGCTACTCCAGCTCACCTGGCCTCTGCCCGCAGAGCAGCTCGTGCTGGGTGCCTCGCAGGCGCCCGTGGGCCGCTGGGACCAGGACTACGACAGGGTTGTGCTGCCGCTGCTGGACACCCAGCAGCCCTGCTACATGCTCTTCCGCCTCGACTCGCAGAATGCTCAGGGCTTCGAGTGGCTCTTCCTTGCCTGGTCGCCTGATAATTCTCCTGTAAGTCATAGAGACCCCTACCAGCCCCAGGCTCAGGGCCAGTGCGGCGTGGGGTGGGGAGCTGAGGTTGTGTAGGGTAACAAGACCCTGCCCCAGGGAGAATGACTCAGGGGAGCTGGGTTCTCTAGAGCCCAGGCTTCAGAAGGCCCGGATATGGGGTGTCCGAGGGCTCCCTCTGCTGGCGGTGCGGCCCTCCTGCAGCTTCAACTCGTGCTGCGCCCCCTGCTGGCTGTGTGGGCACAGCCTGGTTACTGGGCCCTTCCCAGGACTCCTTCCTAAGGCCGCCCGGCTCACAGGGGCCTCACAACCTGGTGCCCTTCACTCCACCCTGTCAGGTGCGGCTGAAGATGCTCTATGCTGCCACGCGGGCCACAGTGAAGAAGGAGTTTGGGGGCGGCCACATTAAGGACGAGCTCTTTGGCACAGTGAAGGTAGGTGAAGGTAGTGCCCAGGCCTTACACAGCATGGGGCCAGGGTCACAGGCCCACAGGAGGTGGGGCATTGTGCTGGCCACCAAGCACCAGTGCCAGGCTTAGAGAAGTGGGAGGGCTAGGAACCCAGGAGCTGCAAGCCAGGGTGCCCATTTAAGCTTCGGGTTCTGCCCTCCAGGATGACCTCTCCTTTGCTGGGTACCAGAAGCACCTGTCGTCCTGTGCAGCCCCGGCCCCTCTGACTTCGGCTGAGAGAGAGCTCCAGCAGATCCGTATCAATGAGGTGGGTGTGCCGATAGCCCCTGCTTCTTGGTGGCCGCGCCCTGGCCACGCGGTGCAGGCCTCCCTCACCACTGCCCCACCCTCCAGGTGAAAACGGAGATCAGCGTGGAAAGCAAGCACCAGACGCTGCAGGGCCTCGCCTTCCCCCTGCAGCCTGAGGCCCAGCGGGCACTTCAGCAGCTCAAGCAGAAGACCATCAACTACATCCAGCTGGTGGGTACTCGGCCCTTCTCTGGCACACTCGCCAGCTACACTGCCCTGCTGCCTCTCCTGCTCTCCCTGTGCCGGTGGGCATAGAGCCCTGCTCCCCTGGCCTGGCTGCCCAGCTAAACTGTGGACTTGGAGAGCATGTCGTCCTCCTGAGCCCTCCGTGTCCTGTGTTGGGTGTGTGAACGTGCCTGCCTTCCTGTCCCCGTCCCTGCCCACAGAGGCCTTCCTGTGCACACACTGTTCCATTCCCCACCCCTTGGGTTCACAGTGATCCCTTAGCCCTGAGCCCTTCCTGTCCCAGACTCCCTGTGCAGCACCCCCTTGGTCACCCCCTCTCCTCAGACGGGGGCCTTCTGCACTGGTGGTCCGTGAGGCCCCTGCCAGGAAGAAAGGCTCTTCCCTTCTGAGGCACTTCCCCCCGGAGGCTTCATCTCTAAGGAGGAGCTGGCCCAGAGGCAGTGCCCCCCTGAGGTCAAGACCCATTGCACCACGCCACCCACTGCCCTTGGTGGGCGTCCCCACTCCAGCAGAGCATGCAAAGGGGCAGAATAGTGTAGGCCCAGGTGCTTCATGAGAGGGATGTGGATCCCACAGAGAGATGGTACAGAGAGGAGACTCCAGCCTGCCAGCCAGTCCTGCTGTGGGGGTTGCTGTCAGGCAGAAGGATGCCCTCATGTCTGCCCCTGCCCCTCCACAGAAGCTGGACCTGGAGCGGGAGACCATCGAGCTGGTGCATACAGCGCCCACAGACGTGGCCCAGCTGCCCTCCCGGGTGCCCCGAGATGCTGCCCGTTACCACTTCTTCCTCTACAAGCACACCCATGAGGGTGACTCCCTTGAGTCTGTGGGTGAGTGGCCGCTGCAGGGCCTTGGTCTCTGCTGGCTAGGAGCAGCTCCAGCCTGAGGCTAGATGGGTCTCCATTTTCCCCATCTGCACAGCTCACCCCAGCCCCGCTCACCCCCCGCAGTGTTCATCTACTCCATGCCGGGCTACAAGTGCAGCATCAAGGAACGCATGCTCTACTCCAGCTGCAAGAGCCGCCTTCTAGACTCAGCAGAGCAGGACTTCCAGCTGCAGATCTCCAAGAAGGTGGGTGCCCATCCCCAGGGCTTATCACCCCAGCCTCCCTGTGGGGCATTGGAATCCTGTGTGATGGCAGAGCGAGACTCCTTGGCTCCTGGCTGCCCCGTTGGACCCTAGGCTGCCCAGCCAACAGGTGGCACAGACAAGCCCAAGCCCTGGCTGCCATGCTTCCTTTCCCTGGGTCGAGGGGGGGGGGCGCCTAGGAGAGGAGACCAGCAGGCCCCAGGCTCTGTGTTCCTGAGGGCAGCATTCCAGGTGGGGTTCTGATAGCCCCAGAGCTGGGTGAGAGAGATCAAAGGGGCGCCCCAGGAGGAGGGGTAGAGATTACCGAGGGTGGTGTATGACAGGGCCCTTCACCACTGGGATGACCACTGCTTCACCCTGCAGATTGAGATTGGCGATGGGGCAGAGCTGACGGCTGAGTTCCTCTACGATGAGGTCCACCCCAAGCAACATGCCTTCAAGCAGGCCTTCGCCAAGCCCAAGGGCCCTGGGGGAAAGCGAGGCCACAAGCGCCTCATCCGGGGCCCTGGAGAGAACGGAGATGACAGCTAGGCCGCCACACAGAGCCAGGCTGGTGTGTGGACTGTGGTTGCCTGCCTCGGCTCTCTGTACCTCCCTCCTTCCCAGCCTGGGCTCCAGGGAGGTGCTGACTGCAGGGCAGGAGGGCTGGTGGCCAAACATGTGCAGCTTCCAGGGGCCACTAGGCCAGCATTTTGTGACCCTTCCCCGTTGCTGTCCCTGCTTCTCATGTGTGTGCCCAGGGTGCCCAGGGCCTCACCTGGCTGGGTCATGGTGCCTAGATTGGGGTCTTGGCATAAACCTGGCCTTCAGGGGACCTGAGACTGGGGTCCCAGCACAGCCCAAAAGCCCCTGCCACGGTGGGTGGGATGTGCTGGGCTACAGCTGGGGTCGCTGCAGGACAGGATGGTTGAATGCTGTATTTTCTAAAGAATAAAATATTTTTAAATCAGTCCTTGAGTCTGCCCCAGGGTACCACCTCTGGTCTGGGAACTGAGTGGCCCTCTCCAGCTCAGAAGCAGACTGTTGGCCTGTGCTCTTGGCCACAATTTGTGGGAGAAGCAGTTTCCGTGTGTGAGGGCAAGAGGTCGGCACACCTACCATCTCGCGGGATCTGGCTGTCTTCTTCCCCATGGCTGCGATTACAGATGACCACAGACAGTGGCTTTAAAAAACAAGTTCATTAAAGACCAGCCTAGGGGCCACTGGGCCACATAATTTGCTGGTGAAACCCTGTGTCAAACAAGAAAAGCCACATAAATTTACCACAGTTCAGTTTTGGAAGCCAGAAATAGGAAACAAGTTTCCTAGGGCTAAAGTCTAGCTGTTGACAGGGCTGATTTCTAGAGGCCTCATGAAAATCCATTTTTGTGCTTTTCCCTCTTCTAGAGGTTGCTTGTATTGCTTGGCTTGTGGCCTCTTCCTCCATCTTCCAAGTCAGAAGCATCTTGTCCAATGTTTTGCTCCCAGGGTCATGGCTTCCATCCCTTCTTCTGAAGTCACATCTCTCTGTGTGCCCAACACTCCCTGCCAGTGATCTAAGATAACCTCTTTGTATTGAGATCCTTAACTTAGATCTTAGCCACAAGCCGGGCATGGTGGTACCTGTGGTGTGGTGGTACCTGCAGGGTGTGAGCAGCGAGCCAGGTCCACCATGCACTCGGAAGGCTGAGGCAGGAGGATCGTTGAGAGACCAGCCTGGGCTACAAAGTGAGCTCAAGGCCAGCCTGAACTGCACAGCGAGACCCTGTCTCAAAAAGTAAAAAAACAAAAACAAAAACAAAACATATATCTTAGCCACAAAGTTCCTTTTTCCATGTAAGGAAATGTAGTCTATAATTTCAACTGTCTGGGAGGCTGTGGCAGGAGGATTGCAAGTTTAAACCAAGCCTGAGCAATTTAGACTGGGAATGTAGTCAGTGCTGGTTCAATCCCAAATACCACAAAGAAAGGAAGAAAAGGAGGAAAAGAAAAAGACAAAACAGGTTCAGAGGATTAGGACATGGGTCTCTAAGGGGGCATTACTCAGCCTACCACACTGGATGAGTGTTCTTAGCTGGGTTTCCAGCCCCTATGGGGCTGAGGACATCTGTCCTGGTGCCGCCAGCCCATGTGTGTCTGTGAGCATGTGTCTGTGCATGTGTCTGGCACACATGCACACCTCGGTGTGTTTTGCTCACCTGTGTCTGCCTTAGCTCCTCTCCAGACCTGCTTTCCTGCCCCCAAGGGAAGCATGGTGGCCCGGGAGGTGCCAACCAGGGATTCTGGGAAAGTGTCCCAGGCTTGGCATGTAGCAGGTGCCAGGCTTCTGTCTACACCTCTGAGAAGCAGGTGGGGCCTCGCGTCCCAGATGCATCCCATGTGTGGTTGATGACTCCTGCCCCCTGCTGGGGGGCATTGTCCTTTCTCCTAGCTCAGGCAGTGCCTCCCCCCAGGGGCCTCCCTCAGGCCCTGCTGAAGCCTCTGGGCTTGTTGGGAGAGCTGGGACCCTAGCTCAGACCTAGAGGAGGATCAAGCTTGCCCATTCCAGACGCTAGCTCTCGGTGGGCAGCTGCCGAGCCAGCTGGACAACTGGCACCTGGGAGCCTGTGGCTGTGACACCCACCCAGAAGTGGGCCTTGGAGGAGTGGGGAGGCAAACTGCAACCCTGCCTGCTCCCAGCGGGATCGCCATTTGTTATTCAGTCATTCACTTCCGCTTGGATACCCTCTCGCTGCCTGCCTACGGCTGCGTGCCAGGGCCCACAGCTTCAGCAAATACTCAGCACAGCTGTGTGCTGGGCGCTGTACTGCATTCCAGGGACACAGACGAGATCTGGCTCCCAAGAAGCTGACATTCCAGCAGCGGAATAAGCCAATGTGCTGTAACCATGTCCACAGTACGGTGTAATAGTGATTAAAAAGCATGTAAAGCAAAAAACAAACAGGCAAAGGGGCTGAAGGGTGTCAGATCTGGGTTGGCAGTTGACGCTACAAAAGCATCAGGGAAGCCCTGGTGGGGAGGGCGACAGGCACGGAGACTTGGAGGAGGAGACTCCTCCAGGCAGAGGAAAGAACAGGCTCAGAGGCCTGAGCAAGGGACACAGGTACGTGTCCCAGCAGCAACCAGGCCGGCGTGGCTGCAGACAGAAGGGGAAGGGCAAGTTCTGCAGAAATGGGGCCTCTACGTGGACTGTGACCGTGACCCAGGGAGGGGTCTAGGCACAGGAGGGACCCACAGGACGGCTCCCTCCAGGGGTGGGATGTGAAGAGGCTGCACCAGCAGCGGGAGCAGGCAGCCAGGCTGCTCAGCCAGGCAGTGGAGTGGAGGTGGCAGGCAGGGGCAGACTCTTAAGGGCAGCCAGCAGGACCTGAACAGGGCTCTGGCCCCCCCTGAGGCCAGGAGCTCAGGAAGAGCTGGGTGGGGAGGAGCAGCCTCGGGAGCCCTGGCAGGACCCTGGGTCTGGATTCCTACGAGTGTCAGGAGCTGGGAATGAGGGAAGAGGCCTGCTCCAGAAGGGACTCATACTGCCCGCCACAGGCCCTGGAGGCCACACAGAGCTCTGCGTGGGGAGGAGTGGGAGAGTCACTGTCCTGAGGGGCTGAGGCCTGAGGGCGAGGTAGCCCTCGTGGGAAAAGGCAGGGCTGGCATGGGTGTCGGTGCCGCCGGACCAGGTCTGCAGGGTGTGAGCAGCGAGCCAGGTCCAGAAGCTCACGGTCCTTAGCAGGCCTTTGCTCCACTCTGAACCTCCCAGAGAACAGATGTGAGGCCACTGGGGACCTGGGGGAGAGTGGAAAGAGGAAGGGGTGAAGAGGACGTCTGTCATCTGACTCACTATGCACCACCTGCCCTCCCCAGGGCGGGTGAGGAGAAAGCCACTGGGCTGGCAAGAACTCTCACTTCCTCTCTTCTCAGAGGACGGACGCTCGCTAGCTTGTCTGCAGCGTTCTCCCTTGCAGTTGTTGCCCAGTCTACTGGCAAGACCCTCAGGAGAAGCTCCCACACCCTGACATGGTAGGACAGCAGCCCTCTGGCCCCTGGAAAAGGGGATGGTGTGGGAAGGGGTGAGGAGGGAGGTGGGTCTAGCAGCTACCCGCGACAGCAAAAGGGATGGTCGCCCCATGGCCCTGAGGACACTCCCTGAACCCTGCAGACACCAGAGAAGAGAGGTCAAAGCGGCCGATGGCTGAGGGGCTGAGGCCTAGGACCTCAGCGGTGGCCTGAGGCTGTGGGCTGGGCTCTGTCAGTTCTGACCCAAGCAAGCTGGGAGAGGGAGGGAGGCAGAGGAGAAAGGAGCTGGACATATCCACCCTCGCCAGGGGCCTGGGTGGAAGCCAGCCTGGACCACAGCAGGAGACTCATCCCTGCTGGGGTCTTAGTCAAAGGTAGGGAGATTTCAGGGTGACTGGAGGGAAGGGAGCCAGCCTCCACTTTGTTCAGAAGGAAAAGGCTTAATGGCCCCTAAGGAGAGGAAGGGAAAGTGGGCTACGCTGGGGTTTGGTTATGTGTGAAATCAGAACTCTGCACTGCGGGCTCAGTCCTGGTTCTGAGTCCCCATTCAGAGTCAGAGACGGGCTGGGAGACTAACTTGAGAGGGTAGAAAGGGCTTTGGCAGCTAGGCGAGCAGAGGTGGGGAGGGCTTGTGGAGGGCTTTGGAGGGCCAGTGTAGACCCCAAAGGGGAGCAGCTGGGGGTGCGGCCGTGCTGGACACTCACACAGCCGCTGGCTCCCACAGGGCTCCTGCGGAAGGGTCCTGCACCCCCTGTCCCTCCTGGTGCGGGCTGTGGTGCTGGCCAAGGCCCTGGCCCTGGGCACGCTGCCTGACTTCCTGCCCTGTGAGCTCCAGGCCTGCGGCGTGCTGAACTGCAACTGGCTCTTCCTGAAGTCCGTGCCCCGCTTCTCTGCAGCAGCACCGCGTGGCAACGTCACCAGCCTTTCCCTGCTGTCCAACCGCATCCACCACCTCCACAACTCTGATTTCCTCCACCTGCCCAACCTGCGGCGCCTCAACCTGAAGTGGAACTGCCCGCCCACCGGCCTCAGCCCCATGCACTTCCCCTGCCACATGACCATCGAGCCCAGGACCTTCCTGGCCATGCCTACCCTGGAGGACCTGAACCTGAGCTACAATGGCATCACCACGGTGCCTGCCCTGCCCAGCTCCCTTGTGAACCTGACCCTGAGCCACACCAACATCCTGGTGCTGGACTCCACCAGCCTCACTGGCCTGCATGCCCTGCGCACCCTCTTCATGGACGGCAATTGCTACTACAAGAACCCGTGCAGTCGGGCTCTGGAGGTAGCCCCTGGTGCCCTCCTGGGGCTGAGCAACCTCACCCACCTGTCCCTCAAGTACAACAATCTCACGACGGTGCCCCGAGACCTACCGCCCAGTCTTGAGTACCTGCTGCTGTCCTACAACCACATTTTTAAACTGGAGCCTGGGGACCTGGCCAACCTGACTGCCCTGCGCGTGCTCGACGTGGGTGGAAACTGCCGCCGCTGCGACCACGCCCGCAACCCTTGTGTGGAGTGCCGTAACAAAACCCTCCAGCTGCACCCCGACACCTTCAGCCACCTCAGCCACCTGGAAGGCCTGGTGTTGAAGGACAGTTCTCTTCACACTCTGGAACCCAGATGGTTCCGAGGCCTAGAGAACCTCACGGTGCTAGACCTGAGCGAGAACTTCCTCTATGACTGCATCACCAAAACCCGGGCCTTCCAGGGCCTGGCACGGCTGCGCAAGCTCAACCTGTCCTTCAATTACTGCAAAAGAGTGTCCTTTGCCCACCGGCATCTGGCACCCTCCTTTGGGAACCTGGCCTCCCTGCAGGAGCTAAACCTGAATGGCATCTTCTTCCGGTCCCTCAGTGAGAACACACTCAAGCCGCTGGTCCGCCTGCCCCTGCTCCAGACCTTGAATCTGCAGATGAATTTTATCAACCAGGCTCAGCTCAGCATCTTTGGGGCTTTCCCTAACCTTAGCTTTGTGGACCTGTCAGACAACCGCATCAGTGGAGCTCCAACCCTGGTGAAGGCCCTTGGGGAAACAGGTGATGAGAACCGGGTCTGGCTGGCGCCTGAGGACCTTGCTCCAGCCCCGCTGGGCAAGCCCAAGTCTGAAGACTTCATGCCCCGCTGCAAGGGCAAATTCACCTTGGACCTGTCTGGGAACAACCTGGTAAAAGTGCAGTCAGAGATGTTCACCAACCTCTCCCGCCTCCGGTGTCTGATCCTGAGCCACAACTGCATTTCACAGGCCGTCAATGGCTCCCAGTTCCAGCCACTGATCAGTCTGCAGGTGTTGGACCTGTCCCATAACAAACTGGACCTGTATCATGGGCTCTCATTCACAGAGCTCCCACAGTTAAGGGCCCTGGACCTCAGTTACAACAGCCAGCCCTTTGGCATGCAGGGCATAGGCCACAACCTCAGCTTTGTGTCCCGGCTGCAAAAACTGCAGTACCTCAGCCTGGCCCACAATGGCATCAACAGCCGCGTGAACCCGCAGCTCTGCAGCAGCTCCCTGCAGGCCCTGGACTTCAGTGGCAATACTGTGAGCAGCATGTGGGCAGAAGGAGACCTCTACCTCCACTTCTTCCAAGGCCTGAAAAGCCTGCTCAGGCTGGACCTGTCCCAGAACAGCCTGCACACCCTCCTGCCCCGCAACCTGGACAGCCTCCCCAAAAACCTGACACAGCTGTACCTCCGTAACAATTACCTGGCCTTCTTCAACTGGAGCAGCCTGGTGCTCCTACCCAAGCTGATCACCCTGGACTTGGCAGGAAACCAGCTGAAGGCGCTGACCAATGGCACCTTGCCCAATGGAACACACCTGCGGCATCTGGACGTCAGTGGCAACAGCATCACCTTTGTGGCCCCAGGCTTCTTCGCACTGGCTACTGAGCTGCGGGAGCTCAACCTGAGTAAGAACAGTCTCAGGACAATTGAGTCCTCCTGGTTTGGGACCCTGGCAGGCAGCCTGAACGTCCTAGACGTGAGTGCCAACCCCCTCCACTGTACCTGCGGGGCGGCTTTCGTGGACTTCCTGCTGGAGGTGCAGCACGCTGTGCCCGGCCTGCCCAACCGCGTGAAGTGCGGCAGCCCCAGACAGCTGCAGGGCCGCAGCATCTTCGCACAGGACCTGCGGCTCTGTCTGGACGAGGCCCTCTCCTGGGATTGCTTTGGCCTCTCACTCCTGGTGGTGGCTCTGGGCCTGGTGGTGCCGCTGCTGCAGCACCTCTGCGGCTGGGACCTCTGGTACTGCTTCCACCTGGGCCTCACCTGGCTACCCTGGCGGGGCCCACGTGGTGCCCAACCCCTGCCCTATGATGCCTTCGTGGTCTTCGACAAGGCACAGGGCGCAGTGGCCGACTGGGTGTACCACGAGCTGCGGGTGCAGCTGGAGGAGCGCCGTGGGCGCCGGGCGCTGCACCTGTGCCTGGAGGAGCGGGACTGGGTACCTGGTAAGACGCTCTTTGAGAACCTGTGGGCCTCCATCTATGGCAGCCGCAAGACTCTCTTTGTGCTGGCCCACACTGACCGGGTCAGTGGCCTCCTGCGCACCAGCTTCCTGCTCGCCCAGCAGCGCCTGCTGGAGGACCGCAAGGACGTCGTGGTGCTGGTGATCCTCAGCCCCGATGCCCACCGCTCCCGCTATGTGCGGCTGCGCCAGCGCCTCTGCCACCGGAGTGTCCTCTTCTGGCCCCAGCAGCCCAGGGGTCAGGGCAGCTTCTGGGCCCAGCTGGGCATAGCCCTGACCAGGGACAACCGCCACTTCTATAACCGGAACTTCTGCAGGGGACCTGCAGCCGAATAGCCCACTGGCCATCGGGGGCGGCTGCTCTCCGTCCTGCCTCACTGCCGGCCCCACAGCTCCTCTGCCTGCTCCCCCCGCGCAGCCAGCATCAGCACATGTTCAATAAATACTGCAAACCTGCTGGTCCTGAGCTCCCTGGAGGTACAGCTGGGAGTTGAGAGGGGACTCTCCAGGTCTCTGTTAAGTGAGGAGTGGACAAGAGGTCACTGGGGGAAATGTCCACAGAGCAAAACAGGGCCCACAGGACGAAAGTCTGCCTAAGGGCAGGTTTAGTTGCAGGCATGTTTAAGGGAGCCTGAAGACGGCCACTAAATGTGGCCTTGGTCCTTCCTGGAGAAGGGGGCAGTTCTGCCCTTCCCAGCCCTTCCTCCACCCCCTGCCTGCCCTTCCTGGTCAGCACCCCTCGCTGGTACCTGACTCCCTCCTCTCAAGGGCACAGAACCTGCAGGCCTGTTTTTTTCTGCCCACTTCCCAGAAGAGTCGGAAAAGTATGCCAGCCCAGGGCACTATTCATTCCCTAGGAGAAAAGATGAATTAAAAAAAAAAAAAAAAGAATAGATGAATTTATGGCAGGTTCTGAGGGGTGATTGCGCCCCCTGCTGGCCATACCTATGCCGCGTGGTGCAGGGTGGCCTAGGCTTGGGAGAAGGGCTGGGGGTGCGCCCGGCAGCAGGGAACTAGAGTCGCAGGAGCGCACAGTCCATTCCTCTGTTTCCACCTAGCGGGGCATGTGGGTGTGCCAAGTACAAAGGTGGGGCCCCCATGCTTGCTCTTGCCTCCCAGGTTTCACTGCGCCCAGCCTGGAGTTAGCCCAGGATGAAGTAAGTGTATCTGACCTGGGGACTGGACCCAGGGCCTTCACAGCAAGCTACAACCACGGTCCTTTTTTAAAATTTTGAGACAAGGCTGAGGCAGGAGGATCATCATGAATTTGAGGCCAGCCAGGGCTACATAGTGAATTCAAGGCCAGCCTGAACTGATAATGAGACCCTATTTCCAAAAAGAGAAAAAAAAATTTGAGACAGATTCATGCTATATTGCCCAGCACGGACTTAAACTTGCAATCCTCCTGCCTCAGCTTCCCAAAATGCTGGGATTACGGGTGTATGCCACTGCCTGGCTGTAGGCTTCAGGACACGGGGAGGGGATCAATGTTTGGGAGACCTTCACTCAAGTGCATGGGTTGTAGATTTTGCCAGGCCCAGAGCCCCAGAAGAGCCTTGTCCTAGGCTACACCATCACCACTCCAAACCTGCCCTTTCCGGAGCAGAGGAGAGTCGAGCAGCCTGGAAGAGCTGGGCTCTGGAAGGGTAGGAGAGCAGAGCCAGTGTGTCTGGACAGGCCAGTCCGCAGGGGTGACTGAGGCTGGTCATACGCTGCTGTTTCTGCAGGCGGGCTTCAGGCAGCCCTGGGGTGTGTGGTTGCTTCTCCTATGCCCGCTCACACCCAGAGCAGAGCTGTGCGGGAAGTGTGGGCCACCTTCCTCTTTTTGCCTTCAAGGGGCTCCTGTATTGCCTACTGTCTGCCAAAATAAAAGACAGAACCCATGTGGGTTCTGACATATCTTGCTTCCTTGGTCCCCTGGGGAAAAGAGAAAGCAAACAAGAGCAATCTTTTTGGTGCACACCTGTAATCACAGCTCTTGGGAGGCTGAGGCAGGAGGGTTGCCACAGTATGAGGCCAGCTGGGGCTTTATACTGAGTTCTAGGCCAGCTTGTCTCAAAAAAAGGAAAAAAAAAAAAAAAAAAGGAAGAGAAAAGCAGTCTCTCCTCCAAGGGTGAGTCCTGGGGAAGTCCCCTGTTAAATGACTGTGAGATTGCTCCCAAAACAGCAAGAGCAGGGAGCAGCAAGCTGGGCCCTGTGCTGAGCGCCGTATCTTGCTTATGAAGAAGCAAAGCCTGCCCGTCTGCCTGGACAGCAAGGCTTCCCTCTGGCAGCTCCCGCGTCCAGCCTCACCTACCTGCCGAGGCCTGGCAACTCAGAACATTTCACACATGGAGCAGGGAGGCCGTGGGAGGGCTTGCTTGGCTCAGTGAATGAGTCCTCATCCCAGCTCCGTGCTGTCTATGGACTGGAAGGGCCAGCACTGCGCTACTTCAGGGCCTGCTGGTGGCTGCTGGGCTGGACAGGACAGAGCTGGATCAGGGAAACTGCTGGTGGTTGGGGCAGACCCCTGCTCCATACCCGCACCCCCGTTCTCACTCACACACTGACAGGACTTGGGTCAGCTGGGCAGCCTCCCCGCCCCGCCCAGCCCACCATTTGGGTTGTCTCGAGCAGGGGATCTTCCCTTTGGGAGGCTCAGTTTGCTCATCTACAAGGCAGTTGGCCAGCGCTACTCTGCAGGTATCGTAAGGGTTAGCGGTAATACGCATTAAGGTCTGCAAGAACCTGGCAGGGCCTCAGCTCTCATTATTAGGTATTGGAACTCTTTGAGACAGTCTTGTTTTTGAGACAGGGCCTTGCTATGTGGTACAGTACTATATAAACTGGCCTTGAACTCACTGTGGAGCCCAGGCTGATCTTGAACTCAAGGAAATCCTACCTCACCCTCCAGAGTGCTGGGATTACAGGAGTGTACCACCACGCCCAGTTTGAGACAGTCTTGTTATGTAGCCCAAGATGGCCTTGAACAGTGATTCTCCTGCCTCAGCCTCCAGAGTGCTAGGATTACAGGTTACGCTAGGTAACAGGATTTATGCCCGTCAGCTATTTTGGCTTTAGTGGTTCTCTCTCCACCCAAACAATGAACTCCTCTAACCTGAGGCCCTGCCCAGAGCACAAGCAGCGTCCAGAGGCAAGTGGGACGGAATCAGAGGCCGTGGAAGCTGGGGTAACAGCTGTCCTGGGGAGGGTGCGTGAAGCCTGATGTTCCCTCCTTTCTGGGAGAAATCAGGGTTAGACAAGCTGTGGTATACAGGATTTAGCAACAGCTAATAGAAGGAAAAAACTGTCAATGTGGAGGAAGTCTGTCCCTGAAGATTTAAACACGTAGGTGCGGAGAGGCGGCGCATGGCTGTGATCCCAACACTCCAGAAGCTGAGGCAGATCGTGGTGAGTTCGAGGCCAGCCTAGGCTACACAGTGAGACCCTCAAAAAACAAAGAAAAAACAAAACATGTAGCTCATGCTGTCCCCCATTAGGACTTTACTTGATGTCCTAAGCACCTAAATATTCTTGAAACACTTCCACTACCTTGTACGATTTCATACCAGACTAGCTTGTAAAAGCCAGAGGTCTCTGTTTGAAGCAGGTCACACAGCCGTGTCGCCCTGCAGATCCTCCACTCCCTCTCCCAGACGCAGGGAGGGACCAGAGGGAGTGCAGGCGAGCGCTGGGGTGGGAGCAGTGCCCCCGCTAGGGCGAACAACTGCATCGGAAGTGAGTGAGCACGGGGAGTTCCAGGCCTTGTGAGGGACAAGGAAACTCCGCAGCAGAGCTGGGAAAGCAGAGTTTCCTGAGCAGGAAGGAACCCTATCTGTGACTCTGAGGCGAGGCGGCTTCCATCACACCCACTGGCCTGCCCACGTGAGCAGTGTATCTGGTGCGAGCCTGACTCAGCTGGTGACTCCCTCTGCATCCCGACCAGGACATCTGCACAGCCAGCCCAGGCTCACGCCCAGCACAACTCTGCCCCGGGAGCAGCACAGCGACCCTTTCTGGGGCTACCAGAAGGGAGGATGGCTGAGGATCGCCTCCAGCTGCCTGGTGCGTCTTCAGCTTAGCTGATCTTTCTAGCAGACTTCGACGTTGTCGCTGGGGACCACTTTGATCCACTCACCACGTTTGCTCATTACCTACCATGTAGCAGGTTCTGTCCTGGCCTTGGAGGGGACAGGAGTGAGAAGAAAAACAGGGCACTTCTCCTCACAGAGGTGACATACAGCAAGGAAGAGGGTCAAAGGGGAAACCGTCACTGTTGGTGGTAACCAGAGCTCTGGACAGCCAGGCAGGAGGCCCAGGATGGGGACAAACTCAAGAGGACATACAGGAGGCAGCACAAGGGTCTCCTTGGGGACTTGTCCTGCGTGAAGGGGCAGCTGCAGCATGATCCAGCAGCAGGAAAACACAAGCAAAAACTGCTCAACACCAAGACACAAAGTAAGAAAACCTGGGTACTTGAGCCCTAGCACAGAACGCAGAGATAGGTAGGGTGGGGTGAGTGAGGCTGGGAAGCTGGAAGGAGCCTGGTCCCAGCTTCGTCAGCCTGTATGCGGAACCCAGAATTTAACCTTGCTGCAGTTGGAAGACCAGAACCCTTTCTGTGGTGGAGAGACGAGATCTCGGGCTGCTGCCGGGGCAGGGCAGACGGTGGCAGAAGCAGAGGTAAGAAGTGGCCGGGCCTGAGGTGTGCTCAGGACTTGCTAACAGCGTGGGAAGGTCAGCTGGCTTCCCCGAGGGGCCCGGGTGTGGTGGTCAGTGACTAGGTCGCCTGGGTGAGGTGCAGGCAGGGCGGGCTGGGCAGACCTGGACAGAGCGCCACCTCCCCGTGTGGCCTGGGTGGTGCTTGTCAGCGGTGTGCGGACAGTACCAAGGGCCGTGGCTGCAAGGCTACATGGGGCAGGGGCAGCGGAGACGGCGGCACCATCGGACGAGGGGCTCCAGCTGCAAGAGCAGACTGCTGGATGCTGAGAGGGTGACAAGGCCTGCTGCAGGCCAATGGGAATGGGGCCAGAGAGAGCTGCAGCACTGTGCAAGCAACGGAACCCAAACACATGTGCAGTGTCCAGAGCAAGGTACATAAACTTCTCCGCTTTGCCACCCCAGTACTGGGGACTGAACCCAGGGCCTTTGCCTGAGCTACATTCCCAGCCCTTTTTATTTTCAGACAGGGCTTGGCTAAATCACTAAGTTACCCAGCTGGGCTCAAAAGCACGATCCTCCTGCCTCAGCTTCCCAGATGCTGGGATCACAGGTGTGCACTCAGCTGACCACTTTTGTTGGAGAAGGCACAACCAGAGGCCAGCAAGGTGAGGGCTGGAGGACGGACACACGTCAGTGTGTGCCCAGCTGGGCTTCAGTGCAGAGTGTGAGGCTGTGGTCGAGGGAACCAGCCACTGCAGCAGGGCTGCTGGGCTGATTTGAGGCAGAAATTTTAGTGAAACTGGCTGTTTTTAGAACAGCTGGGCT